CTCTTCCGATCTCCCCAAAACCCCAAAACCCCATGTATTATGCGAGATATATAGAATGATTTGAAATTTTCAAAAATATAAAGTAAGATCCTTAATTTTTATTGGTAGTCGTTAGATTCAAGACTATATTAAAGATTTAATTCCCTCCAATTTATAAATTAATTTGTTTGATTCTTAAAAAATTTCAATGTCATCTGCTAAAAGATCCACTTCCAGAGTTTCTAAAAAGAAGGCTGCTCCAGCTAAAGACGGTGCTCCAAAGAAGAGAGAGCAATCAACCAGAGTAAGCTAATTTAGAAATTAAATTTTGAATCTAATTAATAATTATAGTACAAATACGTTGAATTGAATAAAGCTTCACTCACATCAGCAGAGGCTCAGCACTTCTATGGAGTTGTCATTGATGCCACCTTCCCATACAAGACCAACCAAGACAGATATATCTGCTCACTCAAGGTTGTTGACCCATCCCTCTACCTTAAGAGCCAAAAGGGAACTGGTGATGCCAGTGACTATGCCACCTTAGTCTTATATGCTAAGAGATTTGAAGATCTTCCAATCATCCACAGAATTGGAGACATCATCAGAGTACACAGAGCAACTCTCAGACTTTACAATGGACAAAGATAATTCAATGCTAACGTTTTCTACAACAGTTCATGGGCTCTATTCTCTACTGATAAGAAATCAGCACTCCAAGAAATCGGTGGTCAAGAGCCAGTTAGCGACCTTACCCCATTCGCTTTCTCAGGAAAGAACTATACCTTTGAGAAGAGCGAAGCTGCCCTTCTCCAAAACATTAGAAAATGGGCAGTTCAATACTTCCAACAATACAACGTTATTTCAAGTGATATGTTCACCCCATTGAATAAGGCTCAAGCCCAAAAGGGAGACTTCGATGTTGTTGCTAAGATTCTTCAAGTCTTTGAGCTAGACGAATACACCAACGAGCTCAAGTTGAAAGATCAATCTGGTCAAGTTTTCTACACCCTCGCTCTTAAGCTCAAGTTCCCACACTTGAGAGCTGGAGAAGTTGTTAGAATTAGATCAGCTACTTATGATGAGACCTCAACCCAAAAGAAGGTCCTCCTTCTAAGTCACTACTCCAACATTGTTACCTTCGTAAGTGCTTCAAAGCTTGCCAAGGAAATCAAGGGTAAAGTCACTGATGATAAATCAGTTGAGAAGGCTGCACTCAAGCAAGATGTTAGCTTGAGCGCTGTCGTCCTCACTGAAGTCGACAAGAAGCATGCTGGTCTCCCAACCCACTCACTTCAAGATTTATTCCACAACGCTGATACTGATAAGGAAATCTCAAGCAAAGACACCTTCAGAACTCAATTCTACATTACCAGAGTTGAACCAGTTGATGTTAAGGAATGGGTTAAGTCATACGACAGAAAATCAAAGAAGGCCTCATCCCACAAGGGTGCTGCAGCCAAGAGTGGAGAGAACATTTTCCAAGTTCAATTCCTCGTCAAGGATGCCTCAACTCAACTTAACAACAACACCTACAGAATCCTCCTCTACACCTAGGATGGTCTTGGTGCTAACTTCTTCAATGTTAAGCCAGATAACCTTTACAAGAACAATGATGCCAGAAAGAAGCTCGAGGAATACAACGAACTCCTAACCAAGTTCAACTCATACGTTGATGCAGTTGTCGAAAGAAGAAACGGATTCTATTTCATTAAGGACACCAGAATCATCTTCTGAACAATCGATTTTGAAAACCATAAAAGGTTAAGTAATGAAACCTAATGATTATTATATCTTCTTATAAAAGTTAAAAATACTCCTAAGCTCTTTAAATTCAATTTTTAAAACTTAAAATTCAAAAAGTAATTAATAATCCTTGTTAGGAATTTAATTTGATTCATGAACCTGTTATATATTATGATTAGTAACTTTAGAAGTTAATAAGTTTTCTAGCAGCCTAATCATTCTATATTCATGTTTTTAATAACCTAAATTGGGGAAATTTATTGTCTATTTCAGGAGACTATTCTTGTATATTTGTAAATATAAGTTGAAATTTGTATAAATAAATGAGAAATAGCCTTAGTAATTATCAATACCCATCTTCGAGTTAAATCTGGTAACATGGGGTTTTGGGGTTTTGGGGTTTGATATTTGCTTTG